CGTGGGTGTGGTTTTCATCTCCCATAAAACTTCCATATAAAACAGATCACACCTGTTATTACTTGTTTAACACCTGTCTCTCACCAGCCATGAGTGCCAAGTCTTGATGTCTATAAGAATCATGAATTTTTTTAAAGAGTTATTTATTTTTATTGGAAAGACAGATATACAGAGAGGAAGAGAGACAAAAAGTTTTCTGTCCACTGATTCACTTCCCAAGGGACCGTAACAGCTGGAGTTGAGCTGTTCCAAAGCCAGGTGCCAGGAACTTGTTTCAAGTCCCGTACATGGGTGCAGGGTCCCAAGGCTTTGGCCCGTCCTTGGCTACTTTCCCAGGCTGCAAGCAGGGAGCTGGATGCGAAGCAAGGCTGCCAGGACACAGACCGGTGCCTATACGGAATTCTGGTATGTGCAAGGTGAGGACATTGGCAACTAGGCCACTGCGCAAGGCCCAGGAACTTGAATCTTGATTTCTAAAGAGAAGAGGCTTTGGGAAATAGGGTTGATGGGGGCTGGAGAGTAGATGGGGCTGAGAAAGGATGGATCAGAGCATTGGAGCAGGTGTAGGTATGGCCAGGGGATCAGGGTCACAGCGACATCTCCGAAGGAGACACTGTGTACTGCGAGCCCGGCACTGCACGTGCCATCCCCACATCCACTCTCTCATTCAACACTCCCGTGAGCTGGGCCTCCATTGGCTCTTGTAAGTTAAGTCTCTTAGACACGATGGCACTAAAGAACAAGTGTAAGCCTACATTTGACTGCAAAGCTAGATTCTCCTCTTTGTCCTGCTGCTGCCTCTTCGGATGCCGTACCCCATGGGGTGTGGAAAGACAGAAGAAAGAGGTTCTGACATTTGGAAGATGGAAAATGGGAATTGGGTAACAGACTGAAGAATGAGGGCCCTGACATTACAGATCAGCAGGACGATGTTTCTATCCCCTCCTGGAGCGCTGATTCGAGTCCTGGCTGCCTGGCTTCTGATCCAGGCCCCTGCTGATGGGCCTGGGAGAACAGCGGAAGATGGACCAAGTAATTGGGCCCCTTCACTCACATAGGAGACCAGGATGAAGTTCTTGGCTCCTGGCTTTGTCCTGGCCCAATCCTGCTTGTTGCAAGTTTTTGAGGAGTGAATTAACAGATGGAAGCTTGCTAGCCCTTTCACCTCCACTTTGGCTTTCAGAGAAAAAAAAAAAAAAAGATAATGTGCGAGCCCAGTGCTGTGGCCTAATGGCTAAAGTCCTCGCCTTGAAAGCCCAGGATCCCATACAGTCTTCAGTTCTAATCCCAGCAGCCCCACTTCACATCCAGCTTCCTGCTTGTGGCCTGGGAAAGCAGTCGAGGACGGCCCAAAGCCTTGGGACCCTGCACCCATGTGGAAGACCTGGAGGAGGTTCCTGGCTCCTGGCTCAGCACCAGCCGTTGCAGTCACTTGGGAAGAGAGAGTGAATTGTCAGACAGAAGATCTTCCTCTCTCTCTTTCCTCCTCTCTATATATCTGACTTTGTAATAAAAATAAATAAATCTTAAAAAGAAAAGATACTGTGATTTTCCACTAATGTTTTTGAAGACTCCTCATATGTATAGTACTGCAGTGCATTAACATTCCTCATTTTTTAAAAATCTTTTTAAAGATTTATTTTTATTATTTTTTCATTGGAAAGGCAGATATACAGAGAGGAAGATCTTCCGTCCGATGATTCACTCCCCAAGTGAGCGCAACGGGCCGATGCTATGCCGATCTGAAGCCAGGAGCCTCTTCTGGGTCTCCCACGCGGGTGCAGGGTCCCAAAGCTTTGGGCCGTCCTTGACTGCTTTCCCAGGCCACAGGCAGGGAGCTGGAAGGGAAGTGGGGCTGCCGGGATTAGAACCGGCGCCCGTATGGGATCCCGGGGCGTGCAAGGCGAGGACCTTAACCACTTGCGCCACCGCGCCGGGCCCTAAAAATCTTTTTAAAAGATTTATTTTTTTTGTTGTTGGAAAATCAGATATACAGAGAGGAGGAGAGATTTACAGACAGGAAGATCTTCTGTCCAATGGTTCACTCCCTAAGTGACCACAACGGCCAGAGCTGACCCTATCCAAAGCCATGAGCCAGGAGCTTTTACGAGTGTCCCACTGGGTGCAGGGTCCCAAGGCTTTGGGCCACCCTGGATAGCGTTCCCAGGCCACGAGCAGGGAGCTGGATGGGAAGTGGGACTGCCAGATTTGCACCCATGTGGGGTCCCAGTGTATGCAAGGTGAGGACTGTAGCCCCTAAGATACCACACCTGGCTCTAAATAAATCTTTTTATTTATTTATTTATTATCTACAGTGAAAAGGCATATTAGGTCTCAAACTTTTTTTAAACTGTGGGTCCTTATTTTGAAAAAGTAAAGAAACCCTGCATGCATACCACTGGAAATGTGACTTTGCGAGTGGTCTGTCTGCTTGTTATCCAGCACCCACCATTCCCATGTGCTGGTGTGGGTGGCTGCCACCGGGGGTGGGCATGGGGGCTGCCATGTCGTGACTCGTGACTTGACCTGCGTGTGTTGTACTCTGGAACTGGAATATAAGACCCTACTACTTCAGAAAGTGCCGATGATGGAACACATCACTAAAAACAGTATAAACACACACACACCAAACAAACCCCACAGCACAAACCTTTTTTACAGGAAAGCCATCGTTCAGATAAGAAAACAATTTTTTTTTCTTCCCACACATGGCTGTGGGATACAGCGCTAAGTGTGCACAGAAGTGAGACTAAGGGTAGGTCGGAATACAGATACTGTCTCCTCTTCCCAAAACAGAAGTCAAGCCGCTTGCAGACTGTACACAGCCACATGTGCAAAGGCATGTTTTTATTTTTATTATTATTTTTTAGACTCCTTTATATTTATTGGAAAGTCAGATATACAGAGAGGAGGAGAGACAGAGGGAAGAACTTTTGTCCAATGATTCACTCCCCAAGTAACCGCAACAGCCATTGCTGAGCCGATCCAAAGCCAGGAACCAGGAACTCTTCTGGGTCTCCCACATGGGTGCAGGGTCCCAAGGCTTTGTGCCGTCCTTGACTGCTTTCCCAGGCCACAGGCAGGGAGCTGGATGGGAAGTTGAGCCGCCGGGATTAGAACCGGCACCCATATGGGATCCCAGGCCGTTCAAGGCAAGGACTGACTTTAAGTGCTAAGCTATTGTGCCAGGCCCAAAGGCCTGTTTTTGTTTGTCTGTTTATTTTTAAGATTTATTTATGTTTATTGCAAAGTCAGATTTACAGAGAGAAGTTGAAAGATCTTCCATCTGCTGATTCATTCTCCAAATGGCCACAATGGCTGAGACATGAACTGGCGTGCATATGGGATTTTGGCGCATGCAAGGCAGGGGCGTTAGCCACTAGGCTATCATGTCAGGTCCCAAAGGCCTTTCCTTAAGGGAAGTTAGGAAGGAAGGTAAAAGGATCTAATTAAAAATGCATAATGTTAAATCACCGTATTTATGTCTCCACTGTCAAGACTGATGTGGCAGAGTGACAGGGAGACATGAGGAGTGATACAGATGTGTACACGGGCTCACCTTGGCACAGCCAGGTCTGGGCCAAGCGGGAGCCAGGAATGTGCAGTCCCGTGCAGGTCCGCGGCGTGGCGCCAGAGGCCCGGGCAGTGCGCCTGTGGCAGCGTTTGTGTTTTTCAGCGTTTTGGATGCTCTCAGGTTGGCGTACTTTGTCAAATCCCGCGACTGCTTGCTTCCGGATACCTGCGTGACTGTGGAGGCCTTCGCGCTTAGCACTCTGCAGCTACAGAGCAGGGAATGGAGGACAGACACGTGTCCAGGAGTTCGCACTAGCTGCACACTTCAGAAAACAAAATCCACCGGGCAGGTGTGGTGGTGGAGTGGGTTAAGCCACCAGCTACAATTCCACAATTGCGGTCTTTGGTGTGTCAGTTCAAGTCTTGGCTGCTCTGCTTGCTTGCTACCCAGCTTCCTGCAGAAAGTGTCTGGGACCGTAGCCAAAGATGGTGCCAGGGCTTGGGCTCCCACCGACACACATACGTGGGATACCCAGACGCGGTTCCTGGTTCGTAATATCAGAAGATGGAGGTTCTTTCGCCCTCTAGTTTGTTTGAAAGAAAAGTTAACAAAGAGAGATGCAGTTTATCTGCTGCCTCACTCCCCGAATGGCTGCAACAGCTGGGGCTGGGCCAGGCTGAAGGCAGGAGTCTCATCCAGATCGCCATGGGTGTAAGGGCTGCTGCTCTCCCAGGAGCACCAGCACAAAGCTGGATTCGAAATTGAACCAGTGCCCAGGTGGGATGCCTGTGTGTAGGCAGTATCTTTACCAGTTACATCATAAGCTGGCTCCCAAAAATCTCTTTCTTTCTCTCCTTACTTTTTTTTGTTGTTGTTATTTAGCCTTTCAAGCAAATCTTTAAAAATAACGTCCATTCTTCCTGACGTTGAAGCACCAATGTGCCTTTACATTGAGGGCCATATTCAGAACTATTGGTACAAGTGTAGAGAAAAGAACAGTAAAAGAGGGACTTGAAATGGATTGAGCGAAGTGGAGGAAGATCAAAATACATATGAAGTAAGTGCTTTTGAAGTAAGTCAAGATATAGGGATTAAAAAAAAAGAGCCAGGTGGGCCCAGTGCAGTAGCCTAGCGGCTTAAATCCTTGCTTTACACACACCAGGATGGCTTAAGGGAGCCAGTTCTAATCCCAGCAGCTCCACTTCCCATCCAACTCCCTGCTTGTGGTCTGGGAAAGCAGTCAACGACGGCCCAAAGCCTTGAGACCCTGCACCCACATGGGAGACCCGGAAGAAGCTCCTGGCTCCTGGCTCCTGGCTTCAGATTGGCTCAGCTCCTGCCATTGCAGCTGCTTGGGGAGTTAATCATCAGATGAAAGATCTTCCTCTCTGTCTCTCCTCCTCTCTGTATATCTGATTTTCCAATAAATATAAATAAATCTTTACAATTAAAAAAAAAAGAGCCAGGTGGTCTATGCTTGCGCTTTTTGGGAACCAGCTTTATTAAACCAAATCACGCTTCTTAAAACGCTCTTTACACCAACACTGCACATCCCACTGTAGCCACAAGGTGTCGCTCCTGTTTTTAACCGTTGTTGACATGGGTTGTTTCCCCAAACAGCAGCCCACAGCCAACCGAGTGAAGATGTGAGAGCAGGGGCATGCTCTTAAGTGCAGGGCAGATAGCTAGATCCAGGCTTGTTTCGGGAATGTCTGGCGGTAGAGGGTCCAGGCTAGGTTAGCAGGCGTGATGGGCATGGGGTTTGAGATGCACTCAGAGTCTCTCCACATAAAAGGCTTTGCCCATCCGATTCAGTTCTTGCTGGTATTGCTGATGCTCCTGTTCAAACAGCTGGTGCAGGGCAGCCTGCCGGACCTGGGAGGGAGGGCACAGGAAAGGGCAGTGTTGGCCCTCTGTATACCATGGCTTCCCGTTCTCTCGCTCTGACTGCTTTCCCATCACTGGGTTCTCTTGGACCTGAGCTAAGCTGCGACATAAAGCCAGTTGGTGGCAGAGGCTCAGCCAGCGGAAGAAAAGCCCTGGGTTGAGCAGAAATTGGCTGAGAACATACCATGAGCCAGGAACACGTGCTATATAGAGATGGTGACATGATGGCTGCTAGAGATGAGAGAGACAGAGAAGGCAGGTGCTGTGTAGGAAAAGACAGAGTCTTACCAGGATGAGAGTAAAGGCTTGAATGTGCTTTGGGACTCCAACCTCTGTCACCTCTAAACTGAATGCAGAGAGATGTAAAGAATGAAAGAGATTGCAGTTGGAAGTGGGCCCTGGAGGCTAATGAGATGGGTGGGGAATGAGTTGACTCAGGGCGAGGAAGTGCCCCTAGGCAAGGCCCAGGGCCACGCTGGGTCAGACAAGAGGCTTGGAGAACTCACCATCAGCAGCTGCTTGTTGGCCAGCACCAGTTCCCGGGCCATGTCCTCCTGCATCCTCAGCGTGGCGTATGGGTTCCTCCGCTGGCTCAGTGTCATCTGCCACAGGCAGCGAGTGTGAGAGTTACGCCACCTGCCACAGGTACAAAGAGGAGATGGAATGGAGATGAGCAGAGCCGCCAATGGAGCTGTTGCTTTGTCCAGGACCCTTGCGGCACCTTAGAAGATTCCAGAAATTTTTCAGTGAGAAACTAGAACAGATTCAGAAGCTCCTGGTGAGGACTTTACGCTGTGTAATGATCACGGTAGCTCTGCGGCATAGGCATCGGCTTTCACCCACAGCAGACAAGAAAACCAAAATTGTCGGTTTCCCAAAGTGCATAGTAGCAGATTCTGGTCTCAAATCACATCTCTCTGAGGCTAATATGAGTATTTTTCCCAACACCCCACGGATTCTCAATAGCAGTAGGACCCTAGAATCTTAAGATTTTAAAAATATTTTTTAAAAATGAAAAAAAAATGTAATGCATTGCAGAAATATACATGAGGAGTTATCAATAAACTTATTGGAAAATGAACATTATCTTTTAAAATATTTATTTATTTATTTCAGGGCCTGGTATGATGGTTCAATGACTAATTCCTTACCTTGCAAGGGCTGGAATCCTTATAGGCACCAATTCATGTCCCAGCTGCTTCACTTCCCATCCAACTCTCTGCTGTGGGAAGGCAGTTGAGGACAGCCTGAGGCCTTGGGACCCTGCACCAGCACTGGAGACCCAGAAAAAGCTCCTGTCTCCTGGCTTTGGATCAGCTCAGCTCTGGCCATTGCTGCCACATGGGGAATGAATTAGTGGACATAAGATCTTCTACTCTGTCTCCTCCTCTCTGTATACTTGACTTTTCATTAAAAATACATAAATCTTTATATAAAAAAAGTTTCTCTTAATGAGGTTAAGGCATTGGTGGTGGAGGTCCTCACCTTGCATGTGCATGGACCCCATGTGGGCACCACCAGTTCATGTCCCAGTGTGCTACTTTTCTTCCGGCTCCTGACTGTGGCCTGGGAAAGCAGTAGAGGACGGCCTAAAGCTTGGGGCCCTGCACCCACGTAGGAGACCTGGCTCTTGGCTCCTGGCTTTGGATCAGCTCAGTCCTGGCCATGTGGCCACTTGGAGAATGAACCAGCAGATGGAAGATCTTTCTGTCTCTGCTTCTTTCTGTAAATCTTCCTTTTTAAGAAAAATAGATGAATCTTTTTAAAAAATGGGTTAGGCACCGGGCCTAGCGTGATGGCTCAGTGGCTAAATCCTTGCCGTGCAAGCACTGGTATCCTGAATGGATGCTGGTTCATGTCCTCGCTGTTCCACTTCCCATCCAGCTCCCTGCTTGTGGCCTGAGAAAGCAGCAGAGGACGGCCCAAAGCTTTGGGACCCTGCACCCATGTGGGAGACCCAGAGGATGGTGTTTTACCTGCTTCAATACTACAGCACTAGTCCTAAGAAAGATATCTTGGTTTTATTCTTCAAGTTCCCGCAACAGTGAGGCAGGCTGAATCCACGACTTAGGAATTCCATCAGTATGCCCCATGTGGGAGATAAAGATCCAGGTACTTGAGCCATCATTTGCTGTTTCTTCTACCCCAGGTATCCATTTAGCTGGAACCTAGATGGGAAATAGTGATGAGACTCAAGCCCAGAAGCTGAGATTTGGGTTGGGGTGTTCAGTGCCTTATTGCTGGCACTGTGACACAGTGTTGACCACTGCCTGTGGTGACACAGGGTTCCCAATCAGTTGCTGGTTCAAGTCTTGACTTTCGATCCAGCTCTCTATGAATAGGCCTTGAAAGGCAACAGATGTCTTAACCTGCAGTGCCACAATGCCAGCCCTGGTTTATATAATTTTTTCTTTTCTCTTTCTATTTATTTATTATTTGAAATGCAGAATTATAGAGAAGCAGAGCTAGACATAGAGAGAGAGAACCTGGCTTGCTGCTCAGGTGGTCCCAATGGCTGAAGCAGGGCCTGGGGGAAGCCAGGAACTCCTTCTGGGTCTGCCGCACGGGTGCCAGGGATCCAGGAGCTAGGGTCATCTCGGCTGCCTTCCCTGCCGAAGCAGGAAGCAGCTGGATCGGAAGTGGGGCAGATGAGTTATGTGCTGGTGAACATATGGGATGTCACAGGTGGTCGGCGGCTTAACTGGTTGTGCCTTTTCACCAGCCCCAGGCCTTTTCATGCTTTTTATTTCTTTATTTAAAAAAAAAAATATTGGAAAGTCAGACTTACAGAGAGGAGAGACAGAAAAATCTGTCTGCTGGTTCAACTCCCTAAGTGGCCGCAGTGGCCAGAGCTGAATCAATCAGAAGCCAGGAGCCTCTTCTGGGTCTCCCATGCGGGTGCAGGATCCCAAGGACTTGGGCCGTCCTCTGCTTCTTTCCCAGGCCACAAGCAGGGAGCTGAATGGGAACAGTGTCCATATGGAATACCAGTGCATGTAAGATGAGGATTTAGCCACTATGCTATTGCACCAGGCCCAGGCTTTTTCAATCTTATAAATAACTCTGTCATGAACATTTTATATCTCATAACACTTTTGCAAGTAGATATGGAGTTGCCAAGTTTAACAATGTGAGAATTTAAATGTGATAGATTCTGTCAAACCAAGTTTATAAATGGCTGCCAGTCAGCCTAGACTCATAAAATCATGTGTGTGTGTGTTTTCAAAGACTCATTTTTATTTATTTGAAAGGCAGAATGACAGAGAGGGAGGGAGACATCTTCCATGCCCCAGTTCATTCCTTTAAAAAGCTGTAAAAGCTAAAGTTAGGGTTAAGCCGAGACAAGAAGCCTGGAAGTTCATCCAGGAGCCCGGGTTATCTCTCGCCAATTTCCCAGGTGCATTGGCAAGGAGTTAAATGGGAAACAGGGAGCGGCCAGGACTCACACTTGGGCTCTGCTGGGGGAGGCTGGTGTCGAAGGCAGCAGCTGAATGTCTTGTATCACAGGGCCAACTCCCACCTATGCAATCTTGAAAGTAGGTTTCTTCCAGGCCAGTGCTGTGGAACTGTGGGCTAAGCTCCCACCTGTGGCACCAGCATCCCGTTTGATCTGTTCAAGTCCTGGCAGCTCCACTTCCGATTCAGTTCCCTATGAATCTTTTCATTTGTGTTTTCGACAAACACATACTGCAGCGGCTAACGCAATTACTAGAAAGCCAGTCAAGAAACACTTGGATTCTCCTGCAAAATAAGTGGCAAGGAAAGGGGAGGCATTGGCCCAGTGGTTGAGACATGGGTCAGGATATGTACATCCCATATTGGAATGCCTAGGCGTGAGTCTCATCCTGCTCTGGATTTCAACTTCCTGCTTCCAGGGATCCTGGGAGGGGCAGCAGTGGTGGTTCAAGTAACTGGGTTCCCACTGCACATGCGGCGATCTGGCTGTGGTGAGCTAGTACCTAGGGAGTGAATCAGCAATGAAGAGCTCTGTGTCTCGGTGCCTCTCAAACTAGTTTTTTTTTTTTTTTAAACTTGGGGGCCAGTGCTGTGGTGTAATTGATAGTCCTGTAGTGCTGGCATCCCATATGGGTGCAGGTTCGAGTCTTGGCTTTTGATCCAGTTCCCTGCTAAGGTGCCTGGGAAAGTAGCAGATGATGAATGAAAAAAAAAAAAAAAAAAGCAAGCAAGCAAGCAGATGATAGTCCAACTGCTTGGGTCACTGTACCCATGTGTGAGATATGGAAGAAGTTCTTGGCTTCTGGCTTGAACCTGAAACAGACCCAGACATTGCGGCCATTTTTGGGGAGTAAACAGTGCATGGTGTCTTCCCCTCTACCACTTTGCTTTTCAAATAAATTCAATACATCTTAAAAAAAAAAAAAGATTCAGGCCCGGCACTGTGGCCTAGAGGCTAAAATCCTCACTTTGAATGTCCCGGAATCTCATATGGGCACCAGTTCTAATCCTGGCAACTCCACTTCCCATCCAAGTCCCTGCTTATGGCCTGGAAAAGCAGTCAAGGACGGCCCAAAGCCTTGGGACCCTGCACCCGGGTGGGAGACCCGTAAGAGTTGCTGACTTCGGATCAGTGGAGTGCCGGCCGTTGCGTTCACTTGGGGAGTGAATCATCAGATGGAAGATCTTCCTCTCTGTCTCTCCTCCTCTCTGTATCTCCGACTTTGCAATAAGGATAAAATAATCTTTTTTTAAAAAATCACCTGATAGGCAGAGTCATGCCTTAGGTCATCTTGAGCTGCCTTCCTGGGCTCATTAGCAGGTAATTAGACTGAAGTAGAACAAGCAGGGCTGGAATCAGCTGGGGTATGTGATGCCAGTGGCACAAGCAGCGGCTTAACGTGCTGCAGCACAATGCTGGCCACACTGCTGTTTTTTACAAGCTTATTTTAAAACCTTTTAAAAAGAGATTTATTTGAAAGGCAGAGTTAGAGAAGTTCCAATCTTCCAGCTGCTGGTTCACTCCTCATTCGACCACTCACAGCTAGGCTGGGCCAGGTTGAAGCTACAAACCTGAACTTCAGTCTAGTATCCCCCATGGGTGGCCATAACGCTGCACCCCCCCCCCCCGAATATTTTTTTCTGTAAAATAAAAGCAAACTTCAACTTGCTCCTGAGTCCCTCTGGAGAATGAACAGCAGGAGGAAATAAAAAGCATCCAGTGTAATAGTGACGCCTGCTGGGCAGCAGGAGGCTCGTTTCTACTTCCAAGAGAAGGCTGCTTCCCTTCTGCCTTCTTCTTGATGAGACCCACGCACGATGAAGCCGAGCTGGGAGGAGGCTGTGGTCAAGCTGAGGGGTAGGAGAAGGAGCCCAAAGCAGAATTACCTGTCAACCATCTTCTTAATCTCTGTGTACCTTTGAAAAGTCTGCAAGAAAAGAAGTTTTGCTCACTTACCTTGATCTTAAAAACTCCAGTGCCTTCCTGGAGTTGCACACAGACTTTCCTTTTTTTTTGGGGGGAGGACAGTTTAGGGGGGAGATGCTGGGATGTTTACCTATTTGAATAGCTACTATGCAATAGTCTGTTACTGTCCTTTGACATCAAGGGCCTTTCCTGTAAGTGGTACACTTCCAGTAAATGGATCTGGAAATCTCATTACGCCGACCCCTCCTCCCAGCTCCACATACCTCTTCTGCTTTCGCCATCTTTTCCGTAGACATGTCTACAGACTTGTGTGATGTGGAACTGGGCTTGAGTAGGCTCTCCTTTCTGTTTAGCTAGTGGTCACCGAGGTTTCAGTAGTCATAGCAACATTTCTGCCTCCTTACAATGTCCCTGGGCCTCTGCGTTGATTGGTCACCTGGTCTGTTGGCTTGGAGACCTGAAGATAATCCTGGACTCCGGCCTCTCATTAGTGACACAGATCATAATCAAGGGCCACTGTCCCTGTTCCAGGATTTCTTCGATTGGGTATTTCGAGTTAGCTGTGCAGTTCTAGGTCCCTGGGACAGAGAGCCCCACTGATTCTCTGGAGATAAATGTTCATACCTTATGCCATCAAGAAGATGCCATTTAAAAAGTGAACTAATGCGTGCAGAGCTTTGGGCTACCAGTTAAGATGCTCATGTTCTGACATTACCTAGGTTGAAGTCCTGGCTCTGTCCCTGATTGTAGCCTCTTGCTGACACAGACCCTGTGAAGCGGCAGGTACTCCTTGTCTGTTAGGTTTGTGGGAACCTCTTGGCTTTGGCCACTGTCAGCCGTTTAGGGAGTGAATGAGCAGACAGGAGTGCTCTTATTATGCGTATACACTCAGTTTCAGTGGTTCACTTTGCTGAACAGTCAGACCAGTGCATTGGGGTAAATTACTTCTTTACACTCATAGTATCGTGCCAGGTGACAGAGCTTTCTCTCTTATTTACTAAAAAGAAAAAAATTGAGTTAAATCGACCTTCCATCTGCTGGTTCACTCCCCAACCGGCTGCAATGGTCAGGGCTGGGCCAAGCCGAAGCTAAAAGCCAGGATCTTCAACTACGTCTCCCATACAAATATGAGGAGCCCAAACACTGGAGCCATCATCCGTTGCCCTCCCAGGGCACCACCAGAGATGGACTGGAAGTAGAGCAGCAGGGCCTCTAACTGGCACTTTTTGCAGGTGGTGGTCTTACCCACTATGCCAGCCCCAGAACCTTCCTCTTATTAACAATGGTATAGATCAAAGTGGAAAGCTGGCTTGTCAGTCAAGAAAGCTGTGTTAATTCTGGTTTAAGTGGAGTACTAGGGCAAACGTTCTATCCACAAGTTCCTGTTTGTTTTTCCCACCAACCAACTCTGAGATGCCCTAAACTCAGTTTCCAATCATGCACAAACAGCAAAAGACAAAAGATAAACCGTCACATATACTAACGTGAACTAGAAATTAAGTAGCCTGAAACAGGGCAGGTACGCTACATTCAAAACCAAGCCAATATTTTTGTGTTTAAATATTTATTTGAAGGTCTGAGAAATGGTGAGGGGAGGGGTATCTTTCAACCGCTGGTTCATTCCCCAAATGGCCACAATAGCTAGGGCTGGCCCAACTTGAAGCCAGGAAGTAGAAATTCCATTCAGATCCTACACAGGTGACAGGGATCCAAGTACTTGGACTATCTTCTGTTGTTTTCCAAGGCACATTAGCAGGAAGCTAGGTAGACAACAGAGCAGCCAGTACTTTGTGACTCCAATACAGAATGCTAGCACAATCCACTGTGCCACAACATCGGCTGCAAGATATTTTTAAGAAACTTTTTAAAAAGATTTTTATTTGACAAGCAGAGTGCCAGATCTTCCATCTGGTGGCTCTCTCCTCAGTTACTTGCAACAGCAGGGACTGGGCAGGGAAGAAGCCAGGAATCAGAAGTTCCCATCTGGTTTTCTCATGTGGGTACTCGGGTCATCTTGGATTGCCTCCCGGGAGCACTGTACTGGGAGCTGCACTGGAAGAGCAGCAGCCAGAACTTGAGCCAGCACTCCGATATGTGATGTGTACGTTCCAGCCTTGGTGCTTTACGTGTTGTATCGTGGTGTTTGTTGCCCACCAAGTAAAGATTTTTAAGGAATTTTTGACAGAAACATTTAAGAATGACATCTGAATTCAAATCCAGAAAAAGTGCTACTAAGGGAAATAAAGTGAGTTGAGGATCTGAAAATGTCTGTGACAAAGGGCTGGAGATGACCTCCGGACGCCCGGGAGTGTCATCTGATCTGTCCCAGCCTGCTCAGCTACACCCCCGGGGGGCGGCCCGGGGAGTAGATCGTCTTGCACACTGCATCTGGCTCAGTCTACAGCAAGAGTCCTTCGGCTCCGTCACAGAGTGCTTTCCAGGGTGTTATAGTTGTCCTTAAAGCTCTTCAATTCGAGGAAGTGCTTGGCACGCTTGCTCTTCTGACTCGAGGGGAGGTACGTCACCTGGATGGTTGTTGGGGAGACTTCGGGGGACTGGGTGAGGTCCTTGGCTGCTGATTGGTGTTGCCTCTGAGAGCTTCCCATTCGTGCCTTCACCCTAGGGAAGAGAGAGAGGAGGTTATAGACTGAGTGAGGACTAGTTTAAGAACATGATTCAGGGCTCGCTTGTTTTATACGTGCAGTGGTCGCAACAATGTCTTTTAGTTTATATAAAACCCCATCTGATAGGTTAAAGGAAAGCAGAGCAACCAAACACCTCTTCTTCAAGATTTTCTCATCTCAATAAAATTAGTTTGTTGAAAAATAATTGCCAAAAAGTAGGAATAGAAGCAGTTTTCAGGTATTTAGCACATTAGGACATCATCAAGCCCCTATATTGTGGTAACTCCCTGCGGGCATGTTAGGCAACTGAGTCCAATGATGATCCCGCATGAGCTCACAAAGGTAGCAAACAGCAGGCCTGGGTTTCAAACCTACATCTGTCAGATTCAAATTCTGCACCTGCCGAACACTTTCACAAGTCAAGGAGACAGAATTCTAAAAATGTATGAGAAATAACCACAACAAAAAATATCATCAACTACACTTACTTATTTTTAAATTTCAGACAGACAGATGGAGAAAGAATGAACAAGCAAGACAGCATGCTCCCCCATCCACTGGTTCCCACTGGGCTGAGCTGAATCAAGGAGCTGGACATTTAGGACAGGCTGGGAGGCGGACAGAAATTCAATGATCTGAGCCCTCACTGCTGTCTCCCAGGGCCCACATTAGCAGGAAGCTGGAGTCAGCAGCAGACACTGAGTCCAGGCAACTTAACCAGTAGGCCAAACGCCTGCCCATAATCATTTCCATTTTTTTTTTTTTAAAGACTTGTCTATTGAGTCAGTTTTCAAGTGGCTGTAATGACAGGGGCGGGGCCAGGAGGAAGCCAGGAACCTGAAACTCCAGTGAGCCATGTGCCTGTGGGCCATGTGCCTGTGCCCGTTAGCAGGAAGTTGGGTCAGAACTGGAGCAGCCAAGAATTACACTGTTGCTCATGAGGGATATTGGAGTTGCAAGAGGAAGCCTAAACTGCTGTATCACAACGCCCAGTCTCCTCTCTCCCCCACTGGAAAACCAACTTCCAAAAGGCCCAAACTCTACATCTCCAGCCCTTGGCAACCACCATTTTACTTTTGTGTTTGACTACTAAAGTATGTCATGTAAGTAGACTCATTCAGTATTTATTTAAGTAAGACATTTTATTAAAAAAAAAGATAATTTTGCACAGGTTTCTGCCTGAGTTCTAGATCAGATGCCTATTTGTAGTCTTGGTGCACGTTCATTTTCATTACTGCTCTGAACAGTGGTTACTAGGCTCATTAGCCTTTTATGTGTTATTTTTACTTAATTGAAAGAGTGAGAGACAGAGACAAGAGGGAGAGAAGGCGAAGGGGGTGGGGAAGAGAGAGAAATGAACACACATAGCATCTTCTATGTGTTGATGCACTCTCCAAATGCTTCTGAAGCTGGAGCTGGGCCAGACTGAAGTCAGGAGCCACAACTCAATCTGTTACCAACCCCGGGCGGGGCGGGGTGGGGTGGTGCAGGGATACTGCCTTCATCACCTGCTGCCTCCCAGCGTGCAGATCAGCAGGAAGCTGGATCTGAAACCAGAGGTGGGACTCCACTGAAGCCATCCCTACCTGCTCACAAGGGCAGCAGAACCACTGTGCCACTATGCCCACTCATAGTACCATTTGTCTCTAAGAGCCAGGCAGCTCATCTTTGGGGGCAGAGAAGAGGATCTTTGTAGCTGGTAATATTTGTTTTTAATTCTAGTCAACATGCCACTCCCTGCCCCCCCCTTTTTAACCAAGCAATTTTGCTTGAATATTTGTAACAATGACACAAAGAAACTATGTGTGGTATATATCTAAAACATTTTGAAACAGAAGTCATGATCTATCACCTACAGCACAAATGCTCAGTAGCTCCCTACAATGGCATCTTTTGTTTTAGCTAGGGTTACTGATACATTAACTGGTGAAAGAAAAAAAAAGGGGGGTACTTTCCCCCTTCATTGGACCAAAAAACAAAAGGCCACTGGCACTCTGGAACAGAAGGAATCCTTGTGTGCTGACACTTTATTTCCTTTGATAGACAGAAATTTCACATTTTACTGGACAGATAATGGGGGAAAAAACACCAACAGGAAAAGGATGCACACGAAGATGGAGCTTCTTTGGTTAGCCTGCAGAGTAGCCTGGCTGGCTTTCTAACGTGAACAAGACAACAGTTCTAACAGAAGCTAGCACCTTACAATTATTTGGCTTTTTTACAGCTCTTGTTCATATCTGTGAGGGTGATTCACTTATATTTTCTAACCCCCTTCGGCATGTTCCCGTCCCAACTCACACGGCGGCCAGCTCACTCAGGGCCTCCTGATAGCGCAGGTACTCATTCTGGCCAAAGACCTTAGGGGAGAGAAAAAGGAAGAGTGAGGACCTCTCAGCCTGGGGGACCCTTGTAGCTCCTCAAAAGGGAACCCAGCCATTGCCTTACCCCTGTTCCGTAGCGTGCTGTCTCGTAGCCGTCCAGCAGGGTATCGATGAGGGCTTTGCGCACACCCTTGAAAGGAGTGCTAGTGTTTCGCAGATCAAGCAGGTAGGAGCGGAAATTCTTGCCCATTAAGGAACGGGGATGCCGGCCTTCAGTGCGAAATGGGATCTCTAAGGAGATAACAGCCCAATGATACCCATTGCACATGATACCCCTTCCCTTTAGCCTTTCTAGTTAATTTCTCAAACTTAATTGCACAGGGCTAATGTAACAAATGAGTTGGAGTGAGATTCTAAGAGAATTAAGACCAAAGGTACACAGTGGCGCCTGAATGGTCATTTAGCAGTAGCAGCGTGATTATAAGCACTGCCATGACATCAGATAGTGTCAACATCCTTCTTACCATCCTGTTTACCATCTCCCGCCTTATAAACTGTGCTTTGGTGGACAGAGCACATATGACATGTGTTCCTAGAATGGACAGAGTCCAGTCATTATCTAGCTTAGGCTTGGTGAAAAAGCAAACACATTACCTACTCATGAAACTAGAAGGGTTTTAAGAACAACAACAACAACAACAAAAAACCCAACTCTCCAAATTCTTTGGAGGAAAAGTAATTCATGTGCAACATTCCCCTTAGCTAAAGAAAAACCCACCAAATCTTGAAACTCTGGGTAATTCCTACCAGCCTGAGATGTGCAGAAAGGACACAAACTAGGCACACCACAGGTTTCCCACTCTGCCCCAGAATGGGTCCTGCTGAGTCAGTCTCACCAGAGGCACGGATGGCATCCAGAGCTTTCATTCTGTACAGATAATTGTAGCAACCTGTTGAAAGAAAAACAAGATTGTCTCAGGCATGACTCCCCCAAACTCCAAAGTGCTGAGAAACTGTCTCCCTACATCTGTACAATCAAAGGTATACAGATGCTTTGGTAGTAGCTACTGAGCCCGTGGCCCTAACCACAGCGCCCTTGCTCAGGTTTGCCGCTTACTCTGGTTCCCCTGGGTCTCCAGCTGTAGCAATCTTGCGTCATCATCTGCAAGGAGCTGGGGCTCATACTTGATATCCTGAACTCTGGACAGTCGAATATCAATCTCCTCCTTCAAGTCCTGTTGACAAGAAACACACAATCACTTAAGCCACACTTTATTTCTACCAACCTGGACATAGGGTAGAGCAAATGAACGAGCTGGTGAAAGTAGAGGAAATTGCCCACGCACATCATCAAACTGCCAGACTACATGGAAGAATTCAGCAAAGAGCAGGGCTGGGTTTTGTACGAATCCTTCCAAGGGGCGAGGTGTGGGGTGTGAGTGCGTGTGTATCTTTTAAGCAGCAGAGAACTTCAAGTTCCATAGACAGCACTACTTCTGACTTTAAATTGGACCCAGAAGATGGTTGGATAGCAATTATAAAGGCCCTTCTGACTTGGGGTTAAAAAAAAAATGAACACCAGGCCCAGTGTGGTAGCCTAGCAGCTAAAGTCCTTGCCTTTCATGTACTGGGATCCCATATGGGCACCAGTTTGCATCCCGCTGGCCCAGTTTCCCATCCAGCTCCGTGCTTGTGGTCTGGAAAAGTAGTCAAGGATGGCCCAAGGCCTTAGGACCCTGCACCTGTGTGGAAGACCTGGAAGCTCTTGGCTTCTGGCTTCGGATTGGCTCAGCTCCTGCCATTGGATGGAGATTTCCCTGTCTTTCCTCCTTTCTGTATACCTGACTTTCCAATAAAAATAAATCTTATTAAAAAAAAAAAAAGGAAACCCAACTATAAGTCATAATCTACCGTAAGCCTCTATAAGAGGTGGCGGGTGCATGCTTTGGCAGTTATGGTGCTGTCTGGGACATGTAACAGTGGGGCATCCTGTTTGCCTCCTGGCTCCTCAGCTTCTGACCCAGTGTCTTGGATCATTCTGGCAGCCTGCTGATGTCCAGCTGAAGCACCTGGTCCCTGCCACCCATGCAGACCACCTGGAGTGATCTGTGGGGGTTCTAGCTTTCTTCTGTAGCAAGGTACACAGCTAGTTCAGGAACACAGGCTTGGAAGCCACTCCCCCAACACTATCTAGGTGTTCCCTCCAGCCCACCTGTGACTCACCTATCATTACCTGGAACCTCAGAGGGGGTGTTATTGCATTGTTATGTAACCACTCCCCTCTCAAGCCCCTTTAAAAGCTGATAAGGAGTGGCACCCTCTTTTGTTCCTATACTTCCATTGCTCTGGCACTCTGACTTTTGGCCTCCCCAGTACCTGAGGACAGGTATCTCCTGAGCATGGCCCCTGTGTCTATTCCTCATTCTCTGTTAACTGCTTAGGCGGGACAGTGAAGACAGCAATGCTAAGATGCTTTGTATTTCTAACTTGTGTACTATCAGGAGTTCCAGGAGAGGTGAGGCCTAGCAGTAGTAGAATGTGGGCAGAGAATCCAGGGAAAGGTGAATTCTGCAGCTATGTGTGTCCAGGTTATTCATTTCATGTCTTAGGATAACTTATATTGCTGGGGAAGCTGGGACACAGGCCTTCAGTTTGACAGATGGACTTGAGGGTAATGACCATTTGTTCCTCTTGGGGTTATGTCTGGTTGGATCATGATTGATTGGATTGCATATGGACTTGTGATTTGCTATTTCTAGTGGGCCCTGTGATCAGCAAGCTTGGTTAATAAAGACTCCTTAATAACCTCAGACATGTTTGTCGTGATCTCGCTCGCATCCCCCAACACTTCTACCCCAGTCCCGGCTGTTGTGGCAGGTGGAAAATCTCCAACTGACTACCTTTGAAACAAAAATGAAAATAATGTTCTTAAGAAACAAGTTAAGAAAAGAAATCTTTGGAGGTGGTCCACAAATGCTTAATAACGATCTGTAGCCTATCTTACCTGGAGGAGCTCGGGACTTGTAGATGCCATTTTGAAGAAAACTAAGGCATCGTAAGATTTGTCGTTTATGCACAACACAAAATATTTGAAGAGATACAAAAAGTGTCACCTCACACTTATTACAGTCGCAATGCATACCTAAGAGGGTTGCCAGAATCCCTAGGGGATATTTTTACTGTAACTTGTTATGAACTTCCATTGTGAAATGTTCATAGAATGCAGATAACACATATTCACACTTCTAACCTTTATAAATCACATAAAGATAACTATCTCTATCCAAGTTTCCTCTATGGGATATTATCAGTAACTCTGAGTCCTGCATACCAGTCGACTGAATGCCAACCTCTTTGATTTGGAAAGTCGTCTTTTCTTTACCCTTTAGCAAGTGTGCCTCTAGAAAAAATATCTAGCTTTGCCTGCTTTCATGTTATTCAAATGGAAAAAGGCTTTAAAAATTCCTTTGCAACCTGGAGTAAAATTTTTAAATGAACGTTATTGGGGCTGAATTAATGAACTATATAATGAACTCACTGTAAATGCAGACTTTCAGTGGTTATACTCATTTCACTGCCATCTTAGTCAACACAAGGAGTATTTCTACCTTCCCCACATAGTCCTCTGAAGTTGACCTTCACCAGCACTTTCCTCTGGAGCTGTGTGCCTGTGGAGGAAGACTTGGAGAAGCAGCTGGCTTTAGTCTGGTCCAAGCCAGCCACCGCACTTAGGGAACCAATGGATGAAAGATCTGTATCCCTCTTTACAACTCTGCCTTTCAAACAAATAAGACAAGTCGTAAAAAAAAAAAAAACAAAACCAACATGGGGGGGGGGGGCACAGTGCTATAACCTAGTGGCTCAGTATTTGCTTTCCATGCACCAGGATCCCATTTGGGTACCAGTTCTAATCCTGGCAGCCCCATTTCCCATCCACTTCTCTGCCTGTGGCCTGGGAAAGCAGGTGAGGACGGCCCAAAGCCTTGGGATCCTGCACCCGCGTGGGAGACCCGGAAGAGGCTCCTGGCTTGGGATCAGTTTAGATCTGGCCGTTGCAGACGCTTGAGATGTGAATCAGATGAAAGGTCTTCCTGTCTTTCCTTCTCTCTGTAAATCTGACTTTCCAAAAAAATTTAAAAAATATGTTTTGCATGTTCTAGAATGTCATATGAATGATATAAGTAGTCTTTTTTTTAGTAACTCTGGCTTTTTTCTGTAAGTCTACTTTTTTTCAAAAAGATATTTTTTCCCCTCCAGTGGTTCACTCACTCCCCAAGAGGCTACAATGGTCAGAGTGGAGCTGAGCTGATTTTTTTTTTAAAGATTCATTTTATTGGGCCCGGCTCGGTAGCATAGCGGTTAAAGTCCTTGCCTTGAATGGGCTGGGATCCTATATGGGCACCAGTTCTAATCCTGGTGGCCCTGCTTACCATCCAGCTCCCTACCTGTGGCCTGGGAAAACAGTAGAGGAGAGCCAGCATGTAGCTTTCGCACCCTGCACTTGCATGGGAGCCCTGGAAGAGCTCCTGGTTTCAGATTGACTCAGCTCCAGCTGTTGCAGTCACTTGGGGAGTGAACCATCAGACAGAAGATCTTGCTCTCTCTATATCTGCCTTTCCAATAAAAAATAAATCTTAAAAATATTTTATCTTTACTGGGTAGTCAGATACACAGAGGAAAAGACAGCAAGATCTTCCATCCACTGATTTACTCTCTAAGTGGCTGCAATGGCTGCAATGGCTGGAGCTGAGCAGATGTGAAGCCAGTAGCCCGGAGCCTCTTCCTGGTCTCCATATGGATGCAGGGTCCCAATAATCTGGTATATCCTTGACTGCTTTCCCAGCCCACAAACAGTTTGATGGAAAGTGGGGCTACTGGAAATAGAACTGGTATCCATATAGGATCCTGGTACCTGTAAGGTAAGGACTTTAACCACTATGCTACTGTGCCAGGCCCTGAGCTGAGCTGATCCAAAGCCAGGAGCTTCTTTCAGGTCTCCCATGGGGATGTAGAGTCCCAAGGCTTTGGGCCGGCTTTGATTGCTTTCCCAGGCCACAAGCAGGGAGCTGGAAGGGACACGAACTGGCACCCATATGGGATGTTTGCATGTGCAAGGTGAGGATTTAACTACAGAGCCATTGCACTAGGCCCTAGTAAACCTAGTTTTGATTCATTTAATGCTTGCCTTTTTTACTTAAAAATATTTTAGAGATTCATTCTGTATACGTAGTCTAATCTCATCAATATCCTGGAATATGAATTTATCACTATCATATACATTTATTTTTGAAGATTTATTTATTAAAAATAAGAGTTGAACAGAAATGGAGAGAAAGTACGATCTTCCTTCTCCTGAGTCTCCTCCTGATGGCCACAATGGCCAAAGCTGGGCTGGCCTGAGGACAGTAATAACTTCCAAGATTCCCCATGTGGGTGTAAGGCCAAAGGCCCTGACCTATCCTCCACAGCTTTCCCAGGTGGATTAGCAGGAAGCCAGATCAGGAGCGGAGCAGCTGGGATACATAGTGGCCCCTGTGTGGATGCTGCTGCAACAGGCGGAGGACAGGCCTGTAACATCACGGTCTATTATATACACATTTTGAAGCAAACATCTGCATTTACATTTCTTCAAATATTATGAGCAATGCTGTTATAAAACACAATCATATATGGCTCTTGGTACAAAAGGGCAAAGCTTATTTCTCTGGGTCTGAGCAGAAGTGCTGGATCATAGATTACATACAGGTGCAACAATGTTCAGTCATTTCCTTAAGTTTTTTTTTTAATTAATTTATACTTTGGAGAATGAAAATTTAGATGTGATTTTTTTTTAATGTAAAAGAGATTTTGATCATCCATAGACCAGCAGCCCCTAAACAGCCAAGGTTCTGATTGGCTCTTTTTTCAATAAGGATTTATTTATTTATTTATTTTTAAAGATTTATTTTATTTTTATTGGAAAGGCAGATATACAGAGAGGAGAGACAGAGAGGAAGATTTTCCGTCTGATGATTCACTCCCTAGGTGGCCGCAACGGCCACAGCTGAGCCAATCCGAGGCAAGGAGCCGCTTCTGGGTCTCCCACGTGGGTGCAGGGTCCCAAAGCTTTGGGCCGTCCTCGACTGCTTTCCCGGGCCACAAGCAGGGAGCTAGATGGGAAGTGGAGCTGCGGGGATTAGAAACGGCACCCATATGGGATCCCGGGCGTGCAAGGCGAGGACGTTAACCACTGTGA